TGGGAGTTGTAGTTGCTGGGATTTATAGTTCACCTACAATCACAGAGCATTCTGAACCACACCAATGATAGATTTGGGCCAAACCCCTACACAGAACCCCCATGTGGGCCACAGCAACGCGTGGCAGGGGACGGCTAGTCACTCATAAAAATACTGAAAAACACAGCAGAAGAGACTTAAAAAGCCAAAAAACAAAAATAAATACAACGCATGTGCAAAACCACATATATACACAAATATACACACACAAAATACATATATACGGACTGGGCCACAGCAATGCATTGCAGGTGATGACTAGTATATAAATAAAAATGTAATGTTCGTTTGTGGGATTAACATAACTCAAAAACCACTGGACGAACTGACACCAAACTCCCCCCTGGCAAACGAAACTCACAATAGCATATCCACACTGTCTTCCAGACTACAGCTCCTAGTATCTCATAGACCGGGCCCTTTAGAAGAGAAGGATGATCCAAATGCACTGCATTCTGAACCCCACCAATGATGGAATTGAACCAAAGTTGTCACACAGTTCTCCCATGACCAACAGAACATACTGTAAGGGTTTGGTGAGCAGTGTCCTTTGGTTTGTAATGTTCATTTGTAATGTAATGTTCATTTTTGGGATTAATATAATTGAAAAACCACTGGACGAATTGAGACCAAATTTGGACAGAATACACCTATCAGGCCAACAAGCGGCCATCACTCATAAAAACACTGAAAAACAGCAGGTGAGACTTTAAAAAACAAAAAATGCATTACAGTGCATGCACAAAACCACATATATACACAAACGTACGTGTATACACATATACACGAATTTATACACACACCCAAAACACATATACACAGGCGGCCACAGCAATGCGTGGCAGGGGACAGCTAGTATTAGAATATTATGTTTTAGAACAGACATGAGGAAACTTGGGCTCTCCAGGTGTTTTGGACTTCAATTCCCACAATTCCTAACAGCCTCAAGCTGTTTTAGTGTGGTGAGATGTGTTCCACACTGGGAATGTATATTCAGCAGCAGAGTAGCAAAACGCAAGGGCAGATGTCTTCACTGTGTCTGGTTGTGATCCCCAGGTTGTGCCAGTCAGCTTTCGTATGATATTATTTCTAGCACGCACTTTTTGCTTGATATTCAAGCAGTGCTTCTTGTGGGTCAGAGCACGGTCCAGGGTAATACCCAGGTATTTGGGTGTGATGCAATGCTCCAGTGGGATTCCTTCTAGTTGGTGAAGCACCAATACCCTTTTGGCAGAGAAAGATAAAGGCCTTGTAAAACTACAACTCTCAGAATTCCAAAGCATTGAGCCATGGAAGTTAAATTAGTTAATTACTTCTATAGTATAGAGTCACACCTTTGGATTGTACATTTATTATAGTGTAAGGAAATACAGATTGAGGTTCCGTTATTCAGAATTCCAAACTACTGACACCTTTTTTCTTTTCTGATGGTTCAAATTATACAACTTTGTTTCATTTAAAATTACCTTCAAGCTCTGGTAAAAGGAGTATATGAAACATAAACGAATGTTGTGTTTTGCCTTGAGTCACGGCTCCAAGATAGTTCGTGATGTTCAAATGTGCAAATACAGACAGTCCCCAAGTTACAAAAATTAGACTTACAAACGACTCATAGTTAAGAATGGGGTGAGACAGCAGGAAGTGAGAGAAATCTCCCCCTAGAAAGGGTAATTCACTCCTGGAAAAGTTATCATGGGGAAAAAGTGTCTCCACTGAAGTTTCTCACCAATCCTTGTTTCCACAAGCCCCATTTTTCAAAATCCAATTGTCACAGGGACAGAAAGTGTGGTGAAATCTTCTGAACTGGGGGACAGTCAGCAAAACAAACACCACAAGGATGTTATGCTTCCCTATGGTGCCAAGAGCCCCCGCCCAGTAACTGGTCTATACTGCAGCGGAGAGTTCTGCAGTTCCTGGAAGCCGAAATTGGAAAAAAACTGATGAAATGTGCCCCAACAAACAGATCAAGGCCAGGACTGCTTTCAGCTTTCATCACTTTCCCTCTAGCCCTGACTTTGTATCTAATCTCTAATAAGGGTACTTGAAATAGCAACTTTCTCAGCTTGATACTTTGGATCCTCCCATGCCTAAGCTAACCCAAGCATGAAATAAACCTCCTTCCAGGCTCCGGGCAACCGCGGGCCTGCCTGGGATGCCTTCCTGGCGTCCCGGGGAGGCCGAATCTGCGCCAATTGAAACCGCGGATAAGGGGGTCTCCCTTTCAGATCTCAGTATCCACAAAAAATCTCAAAATGGCGGATTGGCCCCGTTTTGATGCCATATTTTTCTGTGCACGATTCTTAACCAAACTGCTATTTCGCTTTTCTCATCTTGGATCCCTACGCCCGGGAAATAATTGTTTTGTTTTAAGTAATATAATTTGACAGAAAACAGCTGATTGTCAAACTTCGCCGGTTCCACGCAAGCTGTCAGTTTCTCTTTGTTGCCGCTTGTTCCTGCCTAGTCCCGAAGCCGGGGACTTGCTGTGGATGACCCCCGGAGACCTCGGAGAGGGGGCTGGGCAAGAGACCCAGTCCTTGGGAGGGAGTTATAGTTCCCCAAGGACCGAGCGATGGATCTTGTTATTTGTCAACTCAGCGCCCATCTGCTAACTTCTACCAGGAGAAAATGACTCTTGGCTGCTTGCTTTGAACTGCAAGCCACCTCCGTTTCCACGAGTCTCCCTCAGAAACCTGGGACTTCAAGTTTTCAAATAAAAATCAATTATTTTATTAAATGATTAAGATGTGGGGTGGAAATGGGGTTTTTCTATATGAACTTTGTATAAATAATAATGCATGAAATATTGTCTGCTTTCCCGCCTTTCCCTTTGACTTTTGCCCTAAAAGAAGTGACCAAGGACTGTTGCAATGCCCGAGGGAGGACCCCTGCCTCCCTCAAAACTCGTTTTGATTAACTCATCAGCATGGACAAATAACAATTTAAGATTTCCTTTCCCACTCTCTGAGTCGGTCTGGCGGAAAGAGGAAGTCTATGTGGACAATATAATTGATTTACAAAGGGCAGGGTTGATCCCCCCCGAGGTCCCCTGCCCCGATCCTGTTTGTTTTCCTTCACCAAAACCCATCAAGGACAGGAAAACCTTTCTTATGAAGATCACACCTTGCCAGCCAAAACAAAGCCTCACATTCCAGCTGGCTACCTATCTATAATCCCATCATTTCCCCCATTGTCCGCGGTCGTCCCGCCTTCTCTCTTCTGATTCGTCCATCCTCGGAAGCGAGAGAAGCGCGCCAATTGGCCCTCCAGAGGCGGAGAAACTTGCTGATTGGCCCAGAGCAAGGCGGGCCGCCAAGCCTCCTCCCAGCTGTTCAGGCTGTCAACCAGTCAGCGCGAAGCCGGGCAGAGAGGGGCGGGTGGGAAATTCAAAAGGTTTTGCTGTGTTTTCTCTATAAATATGCTTGTAAATTCTTTAGCGGTATGCTTGTAGTGGAACTATTCCTACAATGCATCCGATCTCAGCTGAATTGCTAATAAAGACACCTTGGTCGCTGACTTCTTCCGCTTTGGTG